CCCCCCCCCTTTTTTTTTTTTGCTGCCTTCTCTTTGGATAGAAGAGATGTTTGGAGGAATGTGAGAGTTCTGCCTAGTATGTCTTAAATAAATCTATTCCTTTCAAAAGATAGCTATTCTGAAGGTTTCTGAGGAGTTAAGCAAAATTGCACAATAAAGGTTTTTTTTTTCCTCTCTCTCCCTTTAGATTGGAGGTTGAAGATTGGATGATGGATTGGTTCCTGTTATTTATGAAAAAAAAACCAAAACTCTTCCCTACATAGAGAAAACTAGCATATTTTAGGAAAGAGTTCCCTATACAATTATCCTAGTCCAACATGTCTCAACCCTCCACCTTCCAAGTACACCAAATTACCACCTTTAGAATTTGCAGCCAAATTTAGGATTTAAATCCGATTGTTCTGCTGTAGCCAAGACGTTGTTCTGAAGAGATCACAAATATACTATTCCTAATTAAAATATCTATTTTTAAATGCACGAACCTTCTGTTTTTTGATATTCAGGTAAGAGTTAGGATGTTTATTTAGGCATAAGGTACCATTTATAGAAAAGGCAATGAATCGGAAGTGTTTGGAAATCTTAATGTTTACAGATGTATCTCCCTCTGCAAAAAAACAAAACCTTCATTAAAAAGGAGGACCTCTTATTAAACTAGCCAAGGAAGATTAATCATAATCCGTGGCCGTGAAAAACGTACTGTTGAAATAAAGTACTTTCCAGCTAAATGTGTGTGAGCATTCCACCTTCTTTGTACCCTATACGCCACTCAGTGCAATTGTGTACTACCATCTCATACTATGTTCTCGTAATTTATAAAAGAACTTAGGAGAACTTTTTTTAGCTTGATGGAACATACAGTCTTGCAATACAGTTGGGACAGTAAAAGATACAAGTAATCAGGTCCATCTGTTGACATGAAATATTTTAAACTTCTTAGGTCATGCTTTTAAATATAGACTCTCAGCTCAGGATGAACTTTGGATAGAATCCGATTATATCCTGGAAAGAAGCTTAGTAACAGACAAACACCTTCCACTGGGTGGCAGAATCGGTAATACGATGTGATATTAAGGAAGGTCAACTGTGAAGCAGAACAGAAAAAAGGGATATCCTGAATTCAAATCCGAAACTTGCATTTTAAATCTATAGCGTGTTGGGTAGACGTGAGTTTGCCTTTGCGATGTTGTGTATTGTCTATCAAGTGCTGTAATTCTGATTACTGAATGCTGTCGGGTGCCAAATATTATTCCATGCCATCTATAACAGAGTCAGATATTGCAAACTATAGTACTGCATGCGTTGTCACCTTTTGTAAACCGTGAAATACAATTATGTATCAACTTTCGAAATACCTATGAAATATCAAGTACTCTAGTGAAATAAACCTTTAATAAAATGTGAAATACAGATTTAAAACATTCTGGAGAAAAAAAAAACCCTTTCATTGATTGGATTAAATTATGTTTCAGCTCTAATGCAGGTACACTTTTAAGCTTTGATGTAGCTGTGGAGAAGCTAAATCTCTACTGGGCATCAACAGAGCATCAATGTACGGCTACAACGGAGCCCAACATTGCTAAGTGAGTTTTGCCCCATTTTACCAATTTTGCTGCATTTGTTAAGTGAATCACTGCATTTCTTAGATTAGTAATGCGGTTGTTAATTGAATCTAGCTTCCCCGTTGACCTTGCTCGTCAGAAGATGGCAAAAGGGGATCACATGACTCTGGGACACCTCAACTGTCATAAATGTAAGTCAGATGTCAAGCATCCGAATGTAAATCACGTGACCACGGGAATGCTGCAATGGCCATAAGTGTGAAAAATGGTCATAAGTCACTTTTTCCAGGGCCATTGTAACTTTGGTCACTAAATGAATGGCTGTAAGTCGAGGACTACCTGTTATTTGGACTGCAAACACTTCTCCAGTATTTTCTTCTAAACAAGGAATGAAAACACCTAAGCATCCCCCTTTTTTAAGCCTTGCAAATTAAGTACCCCAGCTAATGCAAAAATTCAAATGCCTTCTGCATTTTCCCATTTATTCTCCGGCACTTTGACAGAAATTGTTTCTTCCACTCTCCCCTTTTTTTTTTTTATAAAAAAAGTAGGAAATCAAACCTGATCTGAAAGGGAAGCCGATATCTCTGTGTGACAAGCATGGATCAAAGCTATGGATGATCTAAGCCTATACCATTTCAGACAAATGGCTGTCCAATTTTATCTTAAAGACTTCCAGTGTTGGAGCATTCACAGTTTCCCGAGGCAGGTTGTTCCACTGGTTAATTGTTCTCACTGTCAGGAAGTTTCTCCTTAGTTCTAGGTTGCTTCTCTCCTTGATTAGTTTCTCCATCCATTGCTTCTTGTCCTACCTTCAAGGGCTTTGGAGAATAGCTTGACTCCCTCTTCTTTGGGGCAACCCCTGAGATATTGGAACACTGCTATCATGTCCCCCCTCATCCTTCTCTTCGTTAAACTAGACATTCCCAATTCCAGCAACCGTTCCTCATATGTTTTAGCCTCCAGTCCCCTAATCATCTTTGTTCCTCTTCTCTGTACTCTTTCTAGAGCCTCAACATCTTTTTTACATCGTGGTGACCAAAACTGGATGCCGTATTCCAAGTGTGGCCTTGCCACGGCATTATAAAGTGGTATTAACAGTTCACGTCCCTTCCCTCCCCATACCTGCATTCTCCCTATTCTTTCCTCATTTATATAAAATCTAATAAAATATTTAACAAAAAAAAAACACTTCACGTGATCTTGATGATCTCATCAAACTATATTGAGATGGACTTCCTGATATAACATCGTCATTATGGATTCCCATAAGTGGGCCTCAACATTGTAATGAAATAGAAGCTGGAGTCATATATCCTCCGTGGGAATAAAGCTACAATATGTACACAGTTTGCTATAGCTGCCTTTCAGGATGCTTTTGTAACCTTTAGTCTAGTGCTCTCTGTCATTTCCTGGTTTTCTTTCATCCACATATTAAACACACCTAACCTCGCTTAGACAGCCAGTTTGATGTGGTTAAGGCACGAGGCTAGAAACCAGGAAATGGGGAGGTCAAATCCCACTCAGGCATAAAGCCAACTGGGTGACGTTGGGCCAGTCATGTTCTTTCAGCCCTAGGAAGGAGGCAATGGCAACTACGTCTGAAGCAACTTGTCCTGAAAACTGAAGGGGCTTGTCCGGCCAAGTTGCCAGGCCATCAGCATTGACTTGAAGGCATAAAAACAAACAAAAGAAACCTTGCTTAAAGTTTCTTCAGTCACGCAAGGTCAGCCTAACACTATGATCTGACAAGAAAGAGCTAAGTTGGATTCACTTGTATGGATATTGACAGGATTTAGGTATGGCTAGTCTGGAGAAAAGAAGGACTAGGGGTGACATGATAGCAGTGTTCCAGTATTTGAGGGGCTGCCACAAAGAAGAGGGAGTCAAGCTATTCTCCAAAGCACCTCAAGGCAGCACAAGAAGCAACGGATAGAAACTAATCAAGGAGAGAAGCAACCTTCAATTAAGGAGAAACTTCTGAACAGTGAGAATAATTAACCAGTGGAACAGCTTGCCTTCAGAAGTTGTGGATGCTTCATTACTGGAGGCTTTTAAAAAGAGACTGGACAGGTATAAGGTCTCCTGCTTGAGCAGGGGGCTGGATTAGAAGATCTCCAAGGTCCCTTCCAGTTCTATTCTATTCTATTCTATTCTATTCTATTCTATTCTATTCTATTCTATTCTATTCTATTCTATTCTATTCTATTCTATTCCATTCCATTCCATTCCATTCCACTCCACTCCACTCCACTCCATCTATTCTATTCTATTCTATTCTATTCTATTCTATTCTATTCTATTCTATTCTATTCTATTCTATTCTATTCTTTTCTTTTCTTTTCTTTTCTTTTCTTTTCTTTTCTTTTCTATTCTATTCTATTCTATTCTATTCTATTCTATTCCTTTCTGTTCTGTTCTGTTCTGTTCCGTTTTGTTCTGTTCTGTTCACAATCACTTGCTGTATACACCATTGAAGAAGTGTTGTGTTCTTCAGTTCTTTAGATGACCACCATCCCACCAGCCATTTTGCAATGAAAAAGGGATGTTCAATATTGTTATATAGAAATGTCCACTTGTTCTCAGGAGCTCTGGTTTGAATGCTCCATGAGGCCACGTTGTGCCATAGAACTCCACAACTGAAATTAGCTGGGAAGATCTCCAGGATGTAAAGAAGAACAGAAGCAAGAAAATGACCACGACTCTTCATTACATTCTCCATAATATACTTTTGTTAGATGATTAGTTTTTCAAAACGGGTGCAGGGTAGAGTATACTGTAGGAGAGATCATGGAGCTCATGTTTAAGCAATATTTACGCCATACAAGTTCCGAAGGAAGAAAGATAATCTATCAGTTTTCTAACATGAATTAGCACTCCTAAGGACAGAGGCAAATACGATTGACAGAAGGAAGAGGGAACGGGCAGAGGGGAAGGAAATAGCACAATGTTCCTTAATGGGATATCCTGCAGGTATTCTGGAAACTTGATCCAGGCACCTAGAAGACATCCAGTTGAAAATAGCTGAAATAGGAAGCAATGTTGATTATCTTGATACTTAAGGTATTAACTGGGTTCATTGGATTAAACCGAAATTGGAACCAAATTTGAGTCAAAATAAGGTGATTTTTTTTTGTAATTACAACAGACAAAAGACACTATTTCCTTTTCTTAACCCTGCAGGGAAAACCCCAAGCCAGCCTCCTAGGTTGGGCTGGGCTAAAGATGCTACATTTCCTCCCAAGACTAAATCAATAAAGAGAGAAAGCCAGTTAAGGCTTTGCTAAGAAGCAGGAAGGACCAGCAGAATCAAGAGAAACTGCTCCCAGTTCAGATCCAGACAAGGACTGGGCAAAAGCAACTGGTTTATGAGAGTCCAGGATGGGGAACTGGGCTGTCAACCACTGGTTTTCAGCCCTGGTGATCGTAAGTTCTGCTTTATTATATCTGGGAAGTTAGATAAAGAACAAAAAGTCGGGCCAATATCTACTTCAGGAGGCCCCCATTTAATGTACAACAAATATATTATCTGCAAAAGGCTCCTGGTTTAAGCTTAGTTAAGAAGAATGGGACCAGTTTCACCAGTTTAATAAACTTGGGATGGAGCAGCAAAGACTGCCTGAAGTTCTAAAGTTCTACTCAAAGCTACACCAGGGTGAACAAACTTTGATGGTTAAGAGGTTTTTATTTGCTTTAATTTTTTTGTTATTCTCTGTATCGATAGATCTATAGATACAGATATATAGATAGATCAGTATCTATGATGTCATCATGTGCTGGCCAATTTGGCTTAAGCAGTTTACTTAATTTCTTTTCTCTTTTTTTAATTTTTATTGGGTACAAAGGGAAAAAAAGATTAAAAACATTGAACATGGTAAATTGTCTTTGACTGACATCTCAGTCCATATTGTACATTAATTACATATAATATATCTATAATACAACTGTATATTTCTGGTCTCTGTCTTAACTTATCTCTTTGCTGTGACCTCCATTTTTTCCCCTCCATCTATAAAATTTATTCCATATTTGATAAAATTCTGTTTCTTCCTGGTTTTTTAATCTTTTGGTTATCCTATCTAATTCTGCGCAATACATAATTTTCTTAATTAGTACTTCTCCACTCGGTACTTCCATTGCTTTCCATTTTTGAGCTAATAGTATCCTTGCTGCCATAACCACATGAATAATTAGATATGTGTCTACTTAATTTCTTAATTACTTAATTTCATCGTGAACTTATTTTCGTTGTGAGTTACAGAGTGACAATAAAGATATTCCATTCTATTTTAGGGGGTTTTTTTAGGTTTGGAAACTCTTAGTCTTAGTACTCTTTAAATGCACTATGTCCTGTCTGTCTGTCTATCTGTCTGCCTGCCAAGTATCTATCTATCTATCTATCTATCTATCTATCTATCTATCTATCTATCTATCTATCTATCTATCTATCTATCTATCTATCTATCTATCTATCTATCTATCTATCTATCTCAGTGGTTCTCAACCTTTTTAATGCCGCGACCCCCAACCGGTCGTAAGTCGAGGACTAAACCGGTCGTAAGTCAAGGACTAAACCAATCGTAAGTCAAGGACTAAACTGGTCGTAAGTCGAGGACTTTCCCTGCCCGGGAGCGTCGCACATGCGTGGTTCCGCCCCCTGCGCCGGCCGAGGCATAGCTGGCAAGCGGCAGAGACGGAGCAGGCCGACCACCAGCTGGCCCAGCTCAAGGGAGGTAAGGCACCCGCCAGAAAAGGGAAAAAAAATGGCGGACAGCCTTGCTTGGCGACCCCCGTGAAATGGTCGATCGACCCCAAATGGGGTCTACCTACCTATCTACCTACCTATCACTTCTGTTTGGAAAGTGCCAGGAAATCATACTGTTGGTGACTGGCACCTCAAGGCTGGCAATAACCTTGCTAGCCTTTCCTGTTGTGATTTGGTCTAACCAAACTCGCCTCTGGTCTGAACCATCATCCCCACCCGTGGCAGTGGAATTCCAAAAACTCTCCGTGTTTGAAAGAGTTAGATATAAATGAAATATATTACCAAGGAGACTGTCCCCATCTTGTATCTCAAAGAGGATACAGGACAAGACTAAATCGTGAGAGCCATTTTGGTGTAGGAGTTGAAGGGCTCTTGGTTAGAAATCGAGAGAAAGCGGCTTCTAGCTGTTTTTTTTTTAGGCAGGAAACCTCGCTGGTTTTTGGGCTGCTCTGTCCCTCAGCCTACTCTACCTCACAGGGTCGCAGTTGTAGAGAAAAGAGGAGGTAGGAGCATTAGGTATGTACACTGCTTTGAGTTGGGTTGCCACAGAGATAAACATACTGTGGTTACAAACCCGTGCAGCTCATCCCTGTAAGGCTTTGAGGATTAGAAGGATCGACAATGGAAAGCTGCACGTGCCTAGAAGAGAAGGCGACTTAGGAAATGGTAGGGATATTTTTAAAACTGAGACTTAAGGCATTGCATGCGGTACAGTCATCCTCTGATAGACCCCCTTCTTTTACCGCATTCCTTTTCTGTCCTTTTCTGTCTGGTCTCTCGTGCTGAAGCCTCTTTGTGTCAGCCAACCGAGCTTCTGCTTCTGCTAACTCTTTGTTGAAATTTGGGATTGATAAAATAACAAAGCTCCGCGTATCTTCGAAGCGTGGTGTAAATAAAACCAATAATCGTATCAGTGACCTAGTTATTTTCATGAAGAGAATGAGAGAATTAGTCAACCGTGAAGGGTATGATACTACTTGGAGCCAAAGTTTTGAGTCATGAAATGTAGTGAGAGGCAGATGACTATCCAGGCGATACAGGCAAATAGGGAAAAAGGACAACAGGGTTAAGGAGAGAGAGAGATACTGTATAGGGGTTTCCAATAGCTATTTAAATGTGTCCCTCCCATTAAATAGATATTTTTTTATAAATCTGTCAGATCTTGTTGTGAGATCACAGCAAATGTTGATCTAACCAGCACTGTCTTCCCACTTTCTGGGAAGCCTGCTGGTTACAAGTAGTTCTCAGCTTATGATCACAATTGAGCACCAGATTTATGCTGTTAAGCGAGACAGTTATTAAATAATAACTAGTGCTGGTTCAGTCTCCCAGGATGTCTTTATTTGACCCATTGAATTTCAAAGTTGGCGCCTCTATTTTATTCTAGCTCTCAGGTACAGAGTTAATATATGGCTCTGCAGTGGGTAAAAATTGGGTCTTGTAAACAACAACATTCAGAGAAAGCTAGGTATATATATATATATGCCATGCAAATACAGCCACAGTATTGCTGCAATGTGACACCAGGGTGGTGTGGTGTGTTATTAGAACAGTAGGGTACAATATATTTAGGCATAATTTTTTTCTTTCTTTTTTCGTGCAATGTATTTTTTCCCCCCTGCTCACTTCCTCATACTTTGCAATGCAGGAATATATTTTGGCAGAGGGTTGTCAAACTGATTTAAAAAAAAAGTATTTCCTCTTCTTTTAAAGTTATGAACTTCTGTTCATGCTAGTCTACATGGGCGGGATGGGGAAATAAGTTAATGTTCACAGAAGGATTTTAAAGTTTGCCTAGAGAGATTCAGGACCATTTCGTTAATGATTTTAATGAAATTTGCATTCGTTCTTGTGAGTAGCTAAGCACTTTAGATAATGAAAAGAGGTTTTTTGCAGAAAAACAAAACGGCTTCCTCCTCAGATGATCTAACTAGAGAAAGAAGATATAGAAGGAAAAAAAATGTTGCAAAATTTTGTCCTTCTGGTCTCTCCATTTTGATTAAGAATTATCTGTATTTTGGTCCAGGAGCAGAGGACTTTATTTTATTTCTGAGAGATTAAAAAATGACTTCCAGAAGTTTACAGCATAAAAAAATGAAAACCAATAAACGCACACAACAGTTAGAGGGGAAAAAAACCCAATAAAAACCTTTTTATTTTTGAAAGACTGGAAAACATTATATGGACTTTTTGTTGAAAGAAGAAAAGACTGAATTGATAATTTATGGATTGGGGACTAAAAAGCATTAAAGGGGAAAGAGTAAGATGACAACTATTTAATAAAAAGAAAGGTGGAAATCATAATTCCTCCTTCCTTCCTTCCTTCCTTCCTTCCTTCCTTCCTTCCTTCCTTCCTTCCTTCCCTTCTCATGTTCTTATTTTTCCTCTAATGTTTATACTTCTATTGTATTCAAAAGTTCTAAACTAAATAAATACATTTTACCAATGCACAAAAAAACTGCCATTGTGTTTCCATACAACAATTGGCAAAACGTTGGCCATACATTAGCCCAAAAGGATGCTTAATATATGTAGATCTTTTGCATGAAATGTGATACTGAACCCGTACATCTATTTCCTAGGCAATGCTAAAAATGGTTTAGCTCAATTGTGTCTATCTGAATCCAGGCAAGAAAACAATTCATAGTTGGTGTGTTGGCGTGTTATCATGCACACCATGTTGTCTTTTCAAATAATGCTTAATATGGATTATCTCATTTCAAAATACTCCTAAATGTAATTGTCTTCCTTGTCACTAAATGGCTGATGCTGTAAAACTGAGCACATGAAACATTTTTCCACCTTTCTTCCTTAGGCTGTTTGGTTAGCATTGAATATATACCTTTTTGTGACATATTTCCTGATATTTGATAGAGGTGAGCAGTACTACTACACCAGACAGATTCTTGGGGTGAGTATCGTTTTGGCATTGTCCCTCAACTTCTTTGTCTTGGCCGAATCATTTTTTTCCCCCAAGAGTGATTGTTGCACTCCATTTAAAGTCCTTGTTCATTCCTCAAGTTATTATATATATAGGGGTTATGGAAAATGTCTGTGAAGGGGGAATTGATGTGATGGACTTACAGCAGTGGTTCCCAACCTGTCATCACAGGGGGCCTGCGAAGGCTTCAAGAAATATTATGATTTAAATCTTGAGTTACGTCTTCGGGGGTCCCTGGCCGTGGTCCGTGGCCCCAAAAGGTATTTAAAGGGGGGCCCATGGTGATGAAAAGGTTGAAGCACTGGATTGCAGTAACATAGCCAGTTCCAAGGAAGGAAGGAAGGAAGGAAGGAAGGAAGGAAGGAGAGGGAGGGAGGGAGGGAGGGAGGGAAGAAGGAGGGAGAGAGGAAAGGGAGGGAGGGAGGGAGGAAGGAAGGAGTGGGAGGGAAGGAGGGAGGGAGGGAGGGAAGGAAGGAAGGAGCACATTCTAAGGAGGAAGGCAAGACAAGAGGCAACACAGCCCAGAACTGGATCAGAATCAGAAAAAGAGAGTAAAGACAGCCACTCCCTAGAATTTCCCAGGGTACATCCGTTAGCATAAGAATAGCAAAGGTCTTGTCTGGCAAGATTCTGTCTCCGTAGTGTACACAAATAAAAAACTGGACATTGGCTGCATTGTTTTACGGTGTGACATTCTTGGGCTAAGCCTGACCATATTCCTGCTTTAGGAGAAGCTGTAATATAGCATATAAAATGATGCCAAAATCTTCTTCTCTTCTCTTCTCTTCTCTTCTCTTCTCTTCTCTTCTCTTCTCTTCACCTTTGCAGTCTGCGTTGGCATGGGCTCGGGCTTCGGCCAAGTGCCTGAACTTCAACAGTATGTTGATCCTTCTGCCCATTTGCCGGAATCTCCTCTCCTTCGTGAGAGGCACCTGTCGGGTGAGCAAGGGGCCGAGCCCAAGGGGGGTCTTCGGCTCACCGTGCGGTGTGCTCAGTCCTGGATGTTGGGTGGGCACCGGGAATCCAGCTGGTTGCTAAAATATGTTTTGTGGAAGATTACAAAGGGTATAATTTATGTCTGGACCCTGTTTACAAAAAGGTGGAACGTCTCAATTTCGAAATTAAATGACAAGGAAATAAATGAGAGAATAAAAAAATGGCTAGAATGTTGACCATGGACAGCTCTGCAGATGGTTTCTTGGTCGCCATTCCATAACCAGTGGGACTTGTTTTGTGGGATCTTGGGAACTACAGTTTAGCAAAATCTGAAAGGCCAGAGAGAGCCTAGAAGTGGTTGTTTACAGGAGACAACCTGGGACCCAGGGACTGTATGTAGTCCTTCAATTCCTTTTTCCCTCTCTTTCCTATCGGAAGCTAGAAAAGTTTTCCAACACAAGATGTGTCTCAAAACATATTGGGAGCAACAAAGAGAAATATGTCTTGAAGGCCAACCTATGACCAGGAATGCTGGCTAGATGGGGTTGGCCCCGATCCAGCAGGCCTATCCTCATGTTTTATTCTCCTACAATTGAACAGTTTGGCTGTTCCTGACTTTTTGCTTTATCAATTCAGTTTTGCAGGCGCACCATGAGACGGCAGCTGGATTATAACTTGGCCTTCCATAAACTGGTGGCTTATATGATTGCTCTTCATACAGGTAAATGGAAACACCTGGGAAATTCTAAAGAATTCTGTGGAAATATTATGATGCTGCCCTGCAAATTCTGCCCTTAACTTTAGAGCAGAAGTGCATAAAACTGTGATAAAACTCTGTGATGTCGTGTTGCATCTTCCATTGTTTTGGTGTCACGGGGAAAGTGTCAATGCCACTTTCTCCATGACTACATATTTGCAGGCTATGGTATGTTCTGCATTCACATCACATGCTGGACACCGGTTTGCTTAATCGGGGTTCATTGAAAACATCACCATTGATTGGGCTCACCTAAGACACTATCAACCCTGATTTGCAAACTACTGTACAATGTAATAATAATAATAATAGTAAAGTTGGAAGGGACCTTGAAGGTCATCTAGTCCAACCCCCTGCTCAGGCAGGAAGCCCTATACCATTTCGGACAAATGGCTGTCCAGTCTCTTCTTAAAAACTTCCAGTGTTGGAGCATTCACTGCTTCTGGAGGCAGGTTGTTCCACTGGTTAATTGTTCTCACTGTCAGGAAGTTTCTCCTTAGTTCTAGGTTGCTTCTCTCCTTGATCAGTTTCCACCCGTTGCTTCTTGTCCTGCCTCCAGGCGCTTTGGAAAATAGCTTGACTCCCTCTTCTTTATGGCAACCCCTGAGATATTGGAACACTGCTATCATGTCCCCCCTTGTCCTTCTCTTCGTTAAAGTAGACATACCCAATTCCAGCAGCCGTTCCTTATATGTCCGGGTTCAGAGTTCACACAACTCACTAAGCAACAAAAAGGAAACCACATTACAGCTTAATGTGTTGATTGAGTCCCATCTTGGTGCTTTAAAAAGAGATAAGAGAAGTTCCAGAGAGAAGTTCTCTTGAAGATGGCCTCCAGCACGAATCCAAAAGCTCGGAAGAATAAAACTTGGGTCACGGGGACTGACCCAGATTGGATCCTGCAACATTATCCTGGGACACGTATATTCACCTTCATTCGTTAAAAAAGAGTCTTCCTAAAAATCAAATTTGAAAACTTGGAATTTTTTTTTACACTTCTGAGTGCCTCTTTGTACTCAAAGCCCAGTGTTATTGTCATAGAACTAACAAGACTTGAACATTTTCACTTATGCACTTTCAAGTCTTAGTTCAAATAATTCTACGTTATGATTTAAATGTATGGGTTCTTAGGAGGTTTTGGAATCAATCCACAGTCTGTGGTGGGTTTTTTTGTTTCTGATTCAATACATGGTTTATCTTGTGCTCTCTTCAAGCGATTCACGTCATTGCTCACTTGTGCAACATTGAGTGGTACATTGATGCTCAGCAAAAAAACGATGCGAGCTTGCCTTCCATCTTATCCCACCTGCATAAGACGGAGAGTGTGTGGTTAAATCCTATCCATTCCAATTCTACCGTAAGTGTGTCACTGAATCAGCAATTTACTTCTAAAAATAAAATTACTTGGGCTTACACCTGATTGAGAGCTCTTGGCTAACTAAATATGATGGTAACTGGAACCTCTTGATTTTATCTGTAATGTTGGCTGTGGAATTTAGGAGGATTATCCGTGCTTTTTTTAACTTGGATTAAAAAACATGAGACTTGCTTGACAGCCAAACTTTCTTGGCAGTCTGTTTTTTCCCCATGTCTTTTGCTGGGTTACATTGGGTTGATATTCTAATTTTCTTTTACCTTTCAAGGATTAATGTCTTAAATATGTGCATTGAACAGTCATTTTTTAAAAAGAAGATGCCATTTTAAAGTCTTGTTTTAAATTTTTGGTGAGCTGCCACGGATGTGGTTAAAAAATGGACCTGATGTTTTTCAGCGATGATTTTTAAGGATGTTCGATTTTATTCTGTTACAATTTTGTTATATGGGCCAGGTTTCCTAAATATTATAGGATTGAAATTCCCTATGTTGGAAGGATCCTAGGTTGTGGAATACACCCTGGGGACAATGATCTATTATGTCTTTGTGTAACTTCACCTTGCTGGCTCTTGCAGATTCCTTTATTCGTGGCCTTCACCACCATTCCTGGCCTGACGGGTGTGATCATCACTTTGGCACTCATTCTCATGATCACTTCTTCCATGGAACAAATCCGCAGAAGCTATTTTGAAGTCTTCTGGTATACCCATCATCTTTTTGTCATCTATTTTGCTGGCCTTGTCATCCATGGCATCGCGTAAGTGCAGAAGAAAAACAGAAAAAAGATATAAAGATGAATTAGTAAGATGGGTTAATTCTGATGCACTTGGCTTTTTTTAACTGGGTGAGAAGAGCGAATAGAATAGAATAGAATAGAATAGAATAGAACAGAACTGGAAGGGACCTTGGAGGTCTTCTAGTCCAGTCCCCTGCTCAAGCAGGAGAACCTATATCATCTCAGACAGGTGAATGTCCAGTCTCTTCTTGAAAATTTCTAGTGATGAAGAGCCCACAATTTCTGGAGGCAAGCTGTTCCACTAGTTGATTGTCCTCACTGTCAGGAAGTTTCTCCTTAATTCCATATTGCTTCTCTCTTTGATCAGTTTCCAACCATTGTTTCTCGTCCTTCCCTCTGGTGCTCTGGTGAACAACCTGACCCCCTTTCCCTTTTCTTAGGCTTCTTCTTTTTTCACCTTCATTTTATTTTATAATTATGCAATATTTTTATTATGCAGTAATTTAAAAAAATGTTATAAAAGCATGATATTGTTTGAATCCTGTGGTATTTATACAGTGTTGACTGAAGATTATTAAATAGCCGATATTTAGATAAACCCTTAAAAAACAAAGGCGTTTACATTAATAGGAGCCATGGTTTCTAAAATGTTAATGTTGGTGTTTAAATGTTATATCTGAAGCTAAATGTGGCATTCATAAACAGCTGCAAAATACATTCGGTTCTTGAGTGATTGCAGATATCGGCGTTTTGAAAGCTGTGTTTGATTAAGCTAACGATACTTGCCTGTGACACATCGCATGCAATAGTTTCACTGCAATATTAGCAGCCAATGTAAACATATGACATTGCCAGTAATTGTATGTGGAATTCCTCCCACCCCCACAGAGCAATGGGTGAAGGATCGTGGGGTATTAGAAATTTCTGGAAGTCTCAGCTCCAGTATCTCTTTATGCTCAAGCATAAAGAACGTAGTCAACTAAAATTCAACACTAAACTGATGCCGGATAAGGGTCCATGGAATTCAAGAAGGGTTGGACTTATTCCAGGGGTGTCAAACTGCCGGCCCGTGGGCCGGATGTGTCATGGCGAAACCGCGCCCACCCCATTGCTGGGAATGGAAAAAAACTTGCGATACGTCGTGACATGTCACATGACGTTGCGAGTTTGACACCCCTGACCTAGACTGTTTGTGGGAATGTAACTATTCTAGGTTGATGACTTGTTTAACTCCGCCCTCAGCCTTCTCTTCTACAGGGCAAGGGTGAGCATAAGGTATTGTCACAGCAAGCCACTTTCTCCCACTATTTAGCCACTGAATCCCTTTTGGAATTTCTCCTGGGAAAGGCAACAATTTAGAGGGTGCCCTTTTGTGTCCGCAGAGGTCTTGTTCGTGGGCAAACAGCCGAAAGTCTGATGAAGAATAACCCCAAGCAGTGTGCACATCACCCTACCCAGTGGGGCCCCAACAGCAGCTATCCCTATTGTGAAGTGCCGGAGTTTGGGAGTATTCCGGCTGAGGTGAGAACATCCTTGGTGTTGGTCTGTGCTGGAGTGGAAGGTAGTGAGGAGGTGGATTACCAGAAAGGAGGTGTGTACTCCAGAGGAATGTGTGAGAGAAAGAGGGGGAAGACAACCCTTCCCTAATAGTTTCCAGAGTATATTGTAAATGCAGATAGTAGCCTTTAGTCTGGCAAGATCCTGTCTATGGGTATGAAACAATAACGACCTCAGGTTGGAAGAATCACCAGATGTCATTTTTGATTTGGGGCCTGAGTGTGGCACCTGAGAAGGATTCAGGAGATAGTTTTGCATGCAGCCACCTTATCTTGGGAAAGAACTTGCCCCTCTCTTGTTCATGGGATAGCCATGATTAGAGAATTTTGCTTTGGGTTGGTTGAGTCCGATGCCAAAGCCGAGCATTAGCCCAATTTGTACTGGATGTTAACTGAAATTTCATCCACCCACCCACCCCACCCCAAAAGCTGGACTTCCTATTACACTAAATGTAGCTATAGCTTGATTGGGGCTTGATGAGTTGTAAAATCGTGGTTTACGGCTTGGTCTGTTGGGCAAACCCAGGCAATTATGGTAAAAAGCAAGCTGTGGTTTAACATAATGCATGCATTCAGCATAAGGAATTACAGTATATGGAATTCTGGAGAGAGAAAGATCAGGAAAAGTCCTGCTTTCCTGCAGGATGGTCTTTTCTTATTGTACTTTACTTGGTTCTTTCTTTTAAGTCCTGGAAGTGGGTGCTGGCACCTATTATTCTCTATGCATTTGAGCGAGCACTAAGGATTTGGCGTTCCTGCCAGAAAGTGATTATTACAAAGGTAAGTGCTGGATCTGTCTCCAAATCTACTCACCAGCTTTGTCCTAAATACAATTAAGGGAGAGGGAGAGATAGAGAGAGACAGAGAGAGACAGAGAGACAGAGAGACAGAGAGAGACAGAGAGACAGAGAGAGAAAGACAGAGACAGAGAGACAGAGACAGAGAGACAGAGACACAGATAGAGACACAGACTAATAGACAGACAGAGAGACAGACAGACAGAGACAGACAGACAGACCCACTGTCAATGGCTAAATACAATGGCTAAAATGTCTTTGACTAAGATTGGATATCAAAACAACATCCGGCACCCTAATTGCACTTTATTTCCCCTCCTTATCATTCTGTGAAATAGGAGGTGTCTGTCTGAGTTGCCTTCAAACATTAACCGGGGTGACCTGGTGTTAAGAGCTGCTTTAGCCTCTTTTGCCTAGGCAGTGGATCCTGCCTATCTCTGGCAAGGTCCCCTTCCGTGACTCTTTACATCCGATGTGATGGCGTTGATTAAGGTGTTGAACTGATGTTGGGGAGATCCAGGCTTAAACTCAGCCATGGGAGGTCACTGAGTGACTGATGGGAGAACTACTCTGTCCAAAGCCCAATCTCCAGGAGGAGGCAGTCTTGTGTTTCAGCATCAGAGAAGAGTCAGGAAAGGTTCAGTCTGTCTTGCAGGTCTACTCAGGGTGGGGAGAGGACACTGTATACGGGGAGTGGAATTCACCCCATCCCCACTGGGACAAGGGTTAGGGTTTGCTCACTTTGTCTTCAGGTCATCCTGCATCCCTCCAGAGTACTGGAAATTCAGATGTGCAAGACAGGTTTCAGCATGGAAATCGGACAGTATGTGTTCCTCAACTGCCCCGCCATCTCCTATCTAGAGTGGCATCCATTCACTCTCACCTCGGCCCCAGAGGAAAACTTCTTCTCTGTCCACATTCGGGCAGCAGGTGACTGGACGGAGGCCTTGACTGACACCTTGCAGCAGCCAAACTCACCCATGCCCAGGTGAGCAGAGAGGGCAGCAGGAGTAGCTGTGGCTGGCCTCACCTGAATTTTGTGAATGCCCCCATTGGACCGCCTCACAAATGTATGACCTATCACAGTTAATATTTTCATTTTGTTTGGTCAAAAACATTAAAATATATCTGAAAAGTCCCAGCTGGTCCAAGTTGTGGAACTAAACTCTTTTGGATGTTTTATGGCCCGGCTGGCATTAGCCTGGCGTTTTGTAATCTACAGTAGTGGCTAAAATTGTGGAAACCTTTTTGGGAAAAGTGTATTTTTGAGGTTTGATGGCTAATAACACCACTTTTTTGGGGAGTAGTACCCTTCTCTGTGGGTGCCCCTACCCTCTGGAATGAACTACCCCCCGAGATTCGGACGATTCCGGATCTCCTTACCTTCCGTCGCGCCCTCAAGACATGGCTTTTTCAGCAAGCGGACCTGGCCTAGGGAGGATTTTATACTGGGTTCATTTTAAGGAATTTGAAATAACACAACTCTAAAATTTGGTTTAATTCGGTTTTNCTTAGTTCTAGATTGCTTCTCTCCTTGATTAGTTTCCACCCGTTGCTTCTTGTCCTGCCTTCAGGCGCTTTGGAAAATAGCTTGACTCCCTCTTCTTTATGGCAACCCCTGAGATATTGGAACACTGCTATCATGTCCCCCCTCGTCCTTCTCTTCATTAAACTAGACATACCCAATTCCAGCAGCCGTTCCTTATATGTCCGGGTTCAGAGTTCACACAACTCACTAAGCAACAAAAAGGAAACCACATTACAGCTTAATGTGTTGATTGAATCCCACCTTGGTGCTTTAAAAAGAGATAAGAGAAGTTCCAGAGAGAAGTTCTCTTGAAGATGGCCTCCAGCACGAATCCAAAAGCTCGGAAGAATAAAACTTGGGTCACGGGGACTGACCCAGATTGGATCCTGCAACATTATCCTGGGACACGTATATTCACCTTCATTCGTTAAAAAAGAGTCTTCCTAAAAATCAAATTTGAAAACTTGGAATTTTTTTTTACACTTCTGAGTGCCTCTTTGTACTCAAAGCCCAGTGTTATTGTCATAGAACTAACAAGACTTGAACATTTTCACTTATGCACTTTCAAGTCTTAGTTCAAATAATTCTACGTTATGATTTAAATGTATGGGTTCTTAGGAAGTTTTGGAGTCAATCCACAGTCTGTGGTGGGTTTTTTTGTTTCTGATTCAATACATGGTTTATCTTGTGCTCTCTTCAAGCGATTCACGTCATTGCTCACTTGTGCAACATTGAGTGGTACATTGATGCTCAGCAAAAAACCGATGAGAGCTTGCCTTCCATCTTATCCCACCTGCATAAGACGGAGAGTGTGTGGTTAAATCCCATCCATTCCAATTCTACCGTAAGTGTGTCACTGAATCAGCAATTTACTTCTAAAAATAAAATTACTTGGGCTTACACCTGACTGAGAGCTCTTGGCTAACTAAATATGATGGTAACTGGAACCTCTTGATTTTATCTGTAATGTTGGCCGTGGAATTTAGGAGGATTATCCGTGCTTTTTTTAACTTGGATTAAAAAACATGAGACTTGCTTCACAGCCAAACCTCCTTGGCAGTCTGTTTTTTCCCCATGTCTTTTGCTGGCTTACATTGGGTTGATATTTGCTGGCTTACATTGGGTTGATTAATGTCTTAAATATGTGCATTGAACAGTAATTTTTTAAAAAGAAGATGCCATTTAAAGTCTTGTTTTAAATTTTTGGTGAGCTGCCATGGATATGGTTAAAAAATGGACCTGCTGTGTTTGAGCGATGATTTTTAAGGATGTTCGATTTTATTCTGTTACAATTTTGTTATATGGGCCAGGTTTCCTAAATATTATAGTATTGAAATTCCCTATGTTGGAAGGATCCTAGGTTGTGGAATACACCCTGGGGACAATGATCTATTATGTCTTTGTGTAACTTCACCTTGCTGGCTCTTGCAGATTCCTTTATTCGTGGCCTTCACCACCATTCCTGGCCTGACGGGTGTGATCATCACTTTGGCACTCATTCTCATGATCACTTCTTCCATGGAACAAATCCGCAGAAGCTATTTTGAAGTCTTCTGGTATACCCATCATCTTTTTGTCATCTATTTTGCTGGCCTTGTCATCCATGGCATCGCGTAAGTGCAGAAGAAAAACAGAAAAAAGATATAAAGATGAATTAGTAAGATGGGTTAATTCTGATGGACTTGGCTTTTTTTTAACTGGGTGAGAATAGAATATAATAGAATAGAATAGAACTGGAAGGGACCTTGGAGGTCTTCTAGTCCAGCCCCTGCTCAAGCAGGAGAACCTATATCATCTCAGACATCTCAGAATGTCCAGTTTCTTCTTGAAAATTTCCAGTGATGGAGAGCCCACGATTTCTGGAGGCAAGCTGTTCCACTAGTTGATTGTCCTCACTGTCAGGAAGTTTCTCCTTAATTCCAGATTGCTTCTCTCTTTGATCAGTTTCCAACCATTGTTTCTCGTCCTTCCTTCTGGTGCTCTGGTGAAAAACCTGACCCCCTTTTCCTTTTCTTAGGCTTCTTCTTTTTTCACCTTCATTTTATTTTATAATTATGCAATATTTTTATTATGCAGTAATTTTAAAAATGTTATAAAAGCATGATATTGTTTGAATCCTGTGGTATTTATACAGTGTTGACTGAAGATTATTAAATATCCGATGTTTAGATAAAAACATGTTTAGATTAAAAAAAAACATGTTTAGATAAAAAACAAAGGCGTTTACATTAATAGGAGCCATGGTTTCTAAAATGTTAATGTTGGTGTTTAAATGTTATATCTGAAGCTAAATGTGGCATTCATAAACAGCTGCAAAATACATTCGGTTCTTGAGTGATTGCAGATATCGGCGTTTTGAAAGCTGTGTTTGATTAAGCTAACGATACTTGCCTGTGACACATCGCATGCAATAGTTTCACTGCAATATTAGCAGCCAATGTAAACATATGACATTGCCAGTAATTGTATGTGGAATTCCTCCCACCCCCACAGAGCAATGAGTGAAGGATCGTGGGGTATTAGAAATTTCTGGAAGTCTCAGCTCCAGTATCTCTTTATGCTCAAGCATAAAGAACGTAGTCAACTAAAATTCAACACTAAACTGATGCCGGATAAGGGTCCATGGAATTCAAGAAGGGTTGGACTTATTCCAGGGGTGTCAAACTGCCGGCCCGTGGGCCGGATGTGTCATGGCGAAACCGTGCCCACCCCATTGCTGGGAATGGAAAAAAACTTGCGATATGTCGTGACATGTCACGTGATGTTGCGAGTTTGACACCCCTGACCTAGACTGTTTGTGGGAATGTAACTATTCTAGGATGATGACTTGTTTAACTCCGCCCTCTGCCTTCTCTTCTACAGGGCAAGGGTGAGCATGAGGTATTGTCACAGCAAGCCACTTTCTCCCACTATTTAGCCACTGAATCCCTTTTGGAATTTCTCCTGGGAAAGGCAACAATTTAGAGGGTGCCCTTTTGTGTCCGCAGAGGTCTTGTTCGTGGGCAAACAGCCGAAAGTCTGATGAAGAATAACCCCAAGCAGTGTGCACATCACCCTACCCAGTGGGGCTCCAACAGCAGCCATCCCTATTGTGAAGTGCCGGAGTTTGGGAGTATTCCGGCTGAGGTGAGAACATCCTTGGTGTTGGTCTGTGCTGGGATGGAAGGTAGTGAGGAGGTGGATTACCAGAAGGGAGATGTGTACTCCAGAGGAATGTGTGAGAGAAAGAGGGTGAAGACAACCCTTCCCTAATAGTTTCCAGAGTATATCGTAAATGCAGATAGTAGTCTTTAGTCTGGCAAGATTCTGTCTATGGGTATGAAACAATAACGACCTCAGGTTGGAAGAATCACCAGATGTCATTTTTGATTTGGGGCCTGAGTGCAGCACCTGAGAAGGATTCAGGAGATAGTTTTGCATGCAGCCACCTTATCTTGGGAAAGAACTTGCCCCTCTCTTGTTCATGGGATAGCCATGATTAGAGAATTTTGCTTTGGGTTGGTTGAATCCGATGCCAAAGCCGAGCATCAGCCCAATTTGTACTGGATGTTAACTGAAATTTCATCCACCCACCCACCCCATCCCAAAAGCTGGACTTCCTATTACACTAAATGTAGCTATAGCTTGGTTGGGGCTTGATGAGTTGTAAAATCGTGATTTACGGCTTGGTCTATTGGGCAAACCCAGGCAATTATGGTAAAAAGCAAGCTGTGGTTTAACATAATGCATGCATTCAGCATAAGGAATTACAGTATATGGAATTCTGGAGAGAGAAAGATCAAGAAAAGTCCTTCTTTCCTGCAGGATGGTCTTTTCTTATTGTACTTTACTTGGTTCTTTCTTTTAAGTCCTGGAAGTGGGTGCTGGCACCTATTATTCTCTATGCATTTGAGCGAGCACTAAGGATTTGGCGTTCCTGCCAGAAAGTGATTATTACAAAGGTAAGTGCTGGATCTGTCTCCAAATCTACTCACCAGCTTTGTCCTAAATACAATTAAGGGAGAGGGAGAGATAGACACACACACACACACACACACAGAGAGAGAGAGAGAGAGAGAGAGAGAGAGACAGACAGACAGACAGACAGACAGACAGACACAGACACAGACACAGATAGAGACACAGACTGATAGACAGACAGACAGACAGACAGACCCACTGTCAATGGCTAAATCCAATGGCTAAAATGTCTTTGACTAAGATTGGATATCAAAACAAAATCCGGCACCCTAATTGTGCTTTATTTCCCCTCCTTATCATTCTGTGAAATAGGAGGTGTCTGTCTGAGTTGCCTTCAAACATTAACCGGGGTGACCAGGTGTTAAGAGCTGCTTTAGCCTCTTTTGCCTAGGCAGTAGATCCTGCCTATCTCTGGCAAGGTCCCCTTTCTTGACTCTTTACATCCGATGTGATGGCGTTGATTAAGGTGTTGAACTGATGTTGGGGAGATCCAGGCTTAAACTCAGCCATGGGAGGTCACTGAGTGACTGATGGGAGAACTACTCTGTCCAAAGCCCAATCTCCAGGAGGAGGCAGTCTTGTGTTTCAGCATCAGAGAAGAGTCAGGAAAGGTTCAGTCTGTCTTGCAGGTCTACTCAGGGTGGGGAGAGGACACTGTATACGGGGAGTGGAATTCACCCCATCCCCACTGGGACAAGGGCTAGGGTTTGCTCACTTTGTCTTCAGGTCATCCTGCATCCCTCCAGAGTACTGGAAATTCAGATGAGCAAGACAGGTTTCAGCATGGAAATCGGACAGTATGTGTTCCTCAACTGCCCCGCCATCTCCTATCTAGAGTGGCATCCATTCACTCTCACCTCGGCCCCAGAGGAAAACTTCTTCTCTGTCCACATTCGGGCAGCAGGTGACTGGACGGAGGCCTTGACTGACACCTTGCAGCAGCCAAACTCACCCATGCCCAGGTGAGCAGAGAGGGCAGCAGGAGTAGCTGTGGTTGTCCTCACCTGAATTTCGCGAATGCCCCCATTGGACCGGCTCGCAAATGTATGACCTATCACAGTTAATATTTTCATTTTGTTTGGTCAAAAACATTAAAATATATCTGAAAAGTCCTAGCTGGTCCAAGTTGTGGAACTAAGCTTTTCTGGATGTTTTATGGCCCGGCTGGTATTAGCTTGGTGTTTTGTAATCTACAGTAGTGGCTAAAAGTATGGAAAACGTTTGGGAAAAGTGTATTTTTGAGGTTTGATGGCTAATAACACCACTTTTTGGGGGAGTAGTACCATAAAATTATATATCAATGGGAAGATAATTTAATCAATAATGTAATGCAACATAGTTTGTTCAATTATCTGTACTGTATTCTATGAAAAGTTGTAGCCAAATAACCAGAAAAAGGAAGCACAACTTGCTTAGGTTGATCTCATGTAGCTTTTCTTATCTGATTGTAGTCAATGAGCGTGAGTGTTTACAGATCCAATCAGGTGTCATCTTGTTTTGGCAATGAGCCAATCAGATCACAGTAGGGTTCAATTATTGTTGTCCTGTATTGAAGCTGAGAGGAAGACATTTGTCAGTGTGTTATATGATCGCTATCAAGTTGGTTGGGGGTTTTTTTGTGTTCTTTCATTTAGTGAGCTTGTAAAACGTAATAAAATTAAAGCCATGGTGCCAAGAGTTGACTGGTTGCCCAGAAAGCGATGTAAAATAATATTATTATCACTTGTTCCGATGTTAATGTTTCTTTAATCTTCTTTTTACCCACCTTTGGATTGGTTTCCACCGTAAAGATGACATGTGAAAAGGGTTTTCCAAAGGTGCTAAAACCGGTGATGACATACTCTCGCCTTTTTTGGATTTATGACAAAAGAGTAGAAAAGTCCTAATACCACCTACCAGGAAAACCGTGTCGGTCACTCGATGTCTTCCAGTATGAGGTGGCCATGTTGGTGGGAGCTGGGATCGGGGTGACTCCCTTTGCTTCAGTCCTGAAATCCATCTGGTACAAGTTCCAACATGGTGACCAGGAACTTCAGACCACAAAGGTAAACTCAGTTGGCTTCTCCTCAGCCTGTTTGCAAGGAGTCTTTAAGGTACAGCCCTAAAACAGTTCTTGAATTTATAATGTCTTGCAGACTTAGACTAAAATCAGCACCTCATGTTTCTCCAGAAAGATGAGAACAGAGTTAGACATTGGGCTCTTCTAGACTGCCAAAAATTCTCCATGATCAGGAATTTTCCCAGCCTTAACTGGCCGGAGACTGAAAGTGGAATCTGCAGCATTTATTGATTTATTTATTAAATGTATATACTACCCATCGCACTACTTGTGTGACTCTGAAAGGCTTACAAAATAATAATAAAAAAGATAAAACAGAAAAGCAGTTAACCTTAATGAAATAAAGACTAAAAGACCTGATGCAAACATCTTCTCTATTACTCAACCAAGATTGCCTTCCATCCAAATTTTATAATTTACTAGCACTGGGTCACGCAACCTGGCTTATGGATTTCAGTCGAACACTTATTGGGGTATGCACCGTCTACGTGCCAAAGTTGAGGAGTTCTCACTGAGTTTCTTTGAGGCTTAGTGCGCTGTGAAAACTGAGTTTGTTTGGGGTTTGATGGTCAACATAAAAAGGGAAACCCATGCAGTAAGAAGTGCAAACATGTTGTGTCCCCCAAAAGTTGTACTTCTCTCTGACCTCAACATCTTTCAACTTTGTGTTGAAAAAAGAAAAGGAAAGATTACATGTCAGCAGGGCATTCTGACTTAAGAGGATGAAAATTGGCATTTTAAAGCATGTTGTTGTTTCCATCTTTCTTTTCTTTTCTTTCTCTTGTGGGCTTCAAGATTTACTTCTACTGGATTTGCCGAGAAACGGGAGCGTTTGCCTGGTTCAAACACCTCCTTTCCTCCTTGGAGCAAGAGATGGAGGCATCTGGTAGAGCAGATTTCCTAAGCTACCATCTCTACCTCACTGGCTGGAACAGAAGCATGGTGAGCTTTGTGAACCTTCTTATTCTTTGAAGATTGAGCTTCTTGACTTATCACTTGGCAGGAAGTCATCTGCATTTCATAGTCTTCTGTCTGAGCTGGAAATCCAGAACAAAAGACATTGTTCAATGTTAGTTTGTTCAGTTTTACCAGGCAAGTCAGGTGTTGTTTTCACAGCTCAAAGTGTTATAAAACCATCTTAAAGATAAAACTGGAGGTGAAAAGGCACATATTTGACTTCTAAAAGGAATCAAGCCAAGATTTCTGAGAAAGGGACTTCATATATGAGGCTTTACCACTGAGAAGGCCTATCCTACGATGGTCTCTAGGTTCTAGGTCTCTCTGAAGGAGCCTCCAAGATGTTCTTGGAAATAACCTTCAGGAAGGGCTGGGATACAAATAAAGTACCGATAGTCTTCTAGTTAAAATCACAAATAGGACCAGAATGTCCATTGCTAAGCATGGAAGTTGATAAGGGAGCCGTGTTCAATTTTACAACCTTTTTCACCATGGTTATTACGTGAATCCAGCTTCCTCCTAAGCCAGCCAATTTTCTTTTATTAACCAGGATTTATAGCTTATTGAACAAAGACAGCGAGTTGTTTATTTAGCAAACCACAATGAAACAAATGAAAAGAGTTTATGTTTGTGTAAAACATGCCGCTTAGCCGGTTTGCTTGGCCAAGTGTTTATATGTAGAGGTTCATTAATTAGGTTATATTCCCATGAATGGTAGAGAACACCTTGACTCATTCCAAGACTTAGAAGATGCGTTTTAACAAACAGTTGAGGAGATTGTTGGGACTGCTGTGCAGTTTTGACTTTGGCTGCCTTTTCTTTGTTGGGAAACTAGGTTGGCCATGCAGCTCTCCATTTTCAGAAGTCTACTGACCTGGTGACAGGTCTGAAGCAAAAAACCTCTTTTGGGAGACCCATGTGGAATAATGAATTTTCAGCAGTGGCAGCCACACACCCCAAGTAAGAAATAGCTTTTAAACCAGGCAAAGCTCCTTTCTTCTCATCTAACCCAGTCGCAGTTCCTCTAAACAGCAACGATTTTTCAGGATTTCTGGAAGAAGGAAAACTTCCCCATCATTGGCTACCTGAATTTTGAAAACTGGAAATGTAGTTCTGATGCCTGGAATTGAATGTCCAGATGCTCTTGTCACTGAGCTATGGCCTCTTCTCCAGAACATTGTGGACAGGGAATCAGTACCCTGGACAGCTCCATATTTTGTTTTTTGTGTGTGTGATGTATCAAACATTTATCTGGTTAATCTTTTATTATACTTGCATGTCTACCAAGTTATTTTAAAGAATGCATGCCTTATTCAGTTCCAGATACATTTGCCTCATAAGCTAACATTTTAAGGCATGTTCCCTCTTTTGTGATAAAGAAGGAATGTATATAGTGTTTGCCATTTATGGTTTTTATAAATACTTGTATTATCAATGCTTTTTTAAACAAGCTAGAGCCAGTCTTGAAAAATGGTGGCTTGTCTATTCCTAGTCTCTCCTTTGTCTTTACGTTGTAGTTCTGTGTTTTGTAAGGTAGATGGACGCAAAAGTAGGCTATCAACAAGGCATGAAATCATAAACCAATTCATTGTCGGTGTCTGCACATTACTCTAAGCCGTAGCTGCAATGTGTAAATAAACAGAAAAGAAAATCTTCATTGACCTATAGAAGCCATGGATTATTCACTCGCCCAATTTGCCCATCATCTAAAAGCAAACCCACCTACATTGTTTTGTTCACCAGCCAATGTTTAAATCTCTCCACCAACCACAGGGTGCCATTTTGTTCCTAGCCCTTAATAAAATAATGGTCAAACCAGTTAATATTGCTTCCAATATTCCTAGTCTAGAGGCAGTTCCTAAGAACGTTCATTCCAACTGATTTGTGTTATTTTTATTCTAGGTCTGTTGTGGGTGTGTTCTTGTGTGGACCAGCGCAACTGGCAAAGACCCTGAGAAAGTACTGCAGTCAGCACTCTAGTCTGGATCCCAGAAACGTCCAGTTTTACTTCAACAAAGAGAACTTCTGAAACCGCAGGACCCAAGTCAGAAGGGGAAAACTATTAAATGCTTCACTGAACTGAGTAATGACCGCCAGACCCGCGTTTGCAACTTTTAACGGGCGGTGTGCGCACTGCTTTCAAGTTTGCATATTGTGGGCGTAACTTTTTTTCTATTTATTTTTTTACACTTAAATAGCCAAAATGTGAACTTTAAAAAAAAGTGCTGGGAGCCAATTGAGACTAATAAATGGGCTCCTTCCGATTATATAGATAAAACCAGATTCTCTCTTTTGGTGAACTGTGATATCAGGATCAACATCAACTCACAATTATTATTTTTTCTGCTGCTCTCTGGCAAAAAGTGCAAGCTGATGACTTTTTGTACTGTTGACAGGCAATTTGGGGGCAAAAATGTTCAAATAACCGAGCCTGCGAAATGCGGTCCTTCCCAAAGCTGCAGTAAAAGAATGGCCCATTCAAATATTTGATTCTTGCTTCATCTGGCAAACGCCCGTCATTATTTTGACCACTATGTTCATAAATCTATGCTGATGTCACATCTTCAGAGCTATAATCAACTCAATCTTCTATTCAGCTAGAGAGTCAACATTTCCCAGATGTTGCCCTTATTTTTGCAAAGGCTGCAGACAATATTCCAGCAATCAGCCTGCTCGGAATGCTGTGAATTGATTACTCTTGTGGTGGGAAACATGACAGGTGCATAAACAGCAATCCGATAAGGAGTTACTCCAATGCTAATGTTAATGTCAAGGGTTGTGATGTATTCTGAGCAGGCTTTGAATGGTGCATAGAGTCAGGATAAGGTTTCCGTTAAATGTTCCTCTTGTGCTAGAATGCTACATCAGCGGAGCTATAATCTGATTTGCTTACTGGTGGTTTAACTGCTGCTAGCTTGCACGAACAGCCAATTCTGATTCCTTTGGAATCAGGGTAACTGAAACCAGGTTTTTGACGATGTTAGATTTTAGCATCATGGGTTTCCTCCTCCCCCCCAAATTACGTTCTTTTTCCCAAGCAACCCAGAAATCTGAATCCAACTTCTTATACGCTGCTTAAGGAGAACTGGGTGTGGTTTTAAAAATACTATGGAAATAAGGCTAACACACAGGCAAATGTGGTCAACTGTAGAACATAGTTTTATTTGAGACAAGAATGGAAACAATGAGGGGGCGGGAACAAAAAACCCCCCTTCTCCTTTCTGATTTGGACCAGACGAGGGAAGGGTCTGTGAGCTGCCTTCAGTGTCATTTCCAGCCAGGGCTGAATTTCATTCAAAGGATTCCTAAGCCTGCAAGAATAAAAAAGACAGCGTTAAGAAAAACTCCCCTGCAGAAAATAAAGAGGACATTTCAACCTAATAGCAAAAAAAAAAAAAAAAAGGGAATAAAACAAGCAGTGAAAAGTTAAATCTGCATGGTAGAATGAGGTAGAATATTAACAATTATTAGAATAGTAGAATATAACAATTAGTAGAATATAACAATTAACTAGTGGAACAACCTGCCTCCAGAAGTTGTGAGTGCACCAACACTGGAAGTTTTTAAGAAGAGACTGGACAGCCATTTGTCCGAAATGGTATAGGGTTTCCTGCCTGAGCAGGGGGTTGGACTAGATGACCTCCAAGGTCTCTTCCAACTTTATTATTATTATTATTAAGTATGTGAGTGTACTAATATTATAATTAATATAAAAAAATGCAACACGTGTAACAAAACACAACAATATGTAGCACTCTAGAGAGAGAGATTTGATTTTCTTTCCAGAATTTCCAGTGCTCAAAACACACCAGGCCTGTACGGTAGTTTTCCCTTTTATTAATTAACATGGGACGTCCTTCGCTTCTTGAGTGTTTATTGAGGAACAGCATCATTTTGTAATCATAATTAATATAACACCACGTAACACAGATTTACAGAAATCTTGAAACGTACACGAGAACAGACAGGTGGCATCGATACTTCACTGGAATAACTAGCAGCGTAAAACGAAACCGGACGCAAAGCTTACGGAGGGTGAAATTTCAACGTAGGGCAGGCTGAAGAAAAATTCTTCTGCGTTTCACCCTTTATTATAAACAAAATTGCTCCTGCATAGGCTAAAAGGCGGGCTTAGAAGTTAAAAACCAAGCCAGAGCTAGAACAGGAAGGGTTTTCCTTAAGCCTGAAGAGTGCCTGTGAAGGGATATTTGCACGATCGCTAAAGATTTTGTGCTGTTTTGCAGAAACCGGTGCAATTTCCCTGCTGCTCCCGCCTTGCTTAAGACCCATTTTTACCGGAGGAATGTGGTTCACGGGGCGCCAGTGGATTTCTGTATCTGCTCCTTCAGAATGAGAATGCTCTGCCTTTGTTCGGGAGGCAGCATGGCGATCTGGTCAGCTGTCAGCTGGAGGACTTGCATAATGAGGGCTGCCTGTGGAGAAGTGGGAAAAGAGGAAAAATGATGCACCAGGCGAGGGCAAGGGAAACCTTGGATAGACTTGTGCTCGTGTGGTGTAGGTTTATGTTCTCTCCATCTGGGATTGGGGAGAATTCTTCCATAAATCTAGCTGATGGCTTCCCTCTGCTCCGGGCCGAGCTCTTACAGAAGAAAATAGACAAGGTGCCCCCTTTATACTTGGTGGATTGTTAATAGGCAGTGTAAAAAAGGAAGAAAAAAAAAAAGAATCCTAGCTGGGGTTAATTGGCATTTCTAAAACACATTAAGGACCAGATTTGAAAAGGGCTTCAAATCTCTTAGGAGCCCCTGAATTTTTAAGTGAGAGTCAGAGAAGAGGAGAAAACATTCTTTACAGCCTCTTTTGTGTACCAATTCAAACCTTTTCTCTGCTCCTGTGTCCTGGAAGGTGGCTAAGAGCCCAGAAACGAACCATAAACACCACCGAAACGAAGCAATCAAAGCAACGTGCAGAAAGCACCATCCAACCTCAAGGGAGCCCCACAGAGCACTTCTGGTCTAAAACCCATTTCAAAATGCTCAGGTGGAGTCTTTAAAAAGGTCAGAAGTAAGAATTCAACTGCACTTTCCTCCATTTGCTCACATCAGAAGGATTGAAATCAAAGAGGGGGAAAAAAAAAACCCACCGTGTTTTTATTAAACCGAGGCCTGTATTTTTTTTTTCTCTTTTCTTTACCTTTTCATGATCCTGGGGTGTGACTTGGTTTTGCCCAGGGCTGAAACCTCCAGGCTGGGCTGCAGGTTGTACGGCTCCGCCTGCCATGGCTCCAGCCTGCATTGCTGTCCCTGGCATATTAGGAACCTGAGGGCGGAATATATTCAGAATTTACTGCCCTGTCAAGCCAAAGTGGAACCGACAATCTGAGAAAAGAGTAATTATCTCTGAACAGGAAACAAGGGGAGGGGTGGGGAGAAGGGGGATAATGGAGGTGTGTGCAAATCTATTGACAAGAGAATAATGGGGAGACCTGACCCTCCCGCCCCAGCAAATTTTAATTTCAGACAGACAGGTTTCAAAACAAAGCTTTTGACATCGTCCTTTCGGCCAAGAGATGGATTTTTCTAGTCCAGTGGTTCTCAACCTGTGGGTCGGGACCCCATTTGGGGTCGATCGACCATTTCACGGGGGTCACCAGCAAGGCTGTCCGCCATTTTTTTCCCCTTTTCCGGCGGGTGCCTTACCTCCCTTGGGCTGGGCCAGCTGGTGGTCGGCCTGCTCTGTCTCTGCCGCTTGCCAGCTACGCCTCGGCTGGCGCAGGGGGCGGAACCACGCATGCGCGGCGCTCCCGGGCAGGGAAAGTCCTCGACTTACGACCGGTTTAGTCCTCGACTTACGACCGGCTTAGTCCTCGACTTACGGCCGGTTGGGGTCGCGGCATTAAAAAGATTGAGAACCACTGTTCTAGTCCATGACTTGGGGGTGGGGTGGGGGGTGATTTTTTTAATGACAACAAAAAGCTTTGTCGATTTATCGGGCAAAATATTCATGGAGCCAGCCGTGTTATTTCCAGAAACGGCTCTTTATTTAAAGGCTTGGTCCATGTCAAGGCATGGATGAAGTGACCTCTGAGGCAGCCGCCTGTTGACTTGGACAATGCCCGGGGGCTTTTGGCGAAAGAGGCAGCCAGGTTTTTACACAGCTGATCTTTTTTAGGACAGGGGTGGGCATCCTGGGGGGGGGGGCGCATAAAGATCCAGCTCTGTTTCTTCTGCCTGAGGCTCGAATTTAGCAGTAAACCGCATTGTTGGCAACCCAACTGCATCTTTGAAAAGATTACAAACTCATCCCAGCCATCGAGCAACCACTTAAAGCACATCAGGTGCGGATTGCCCAATGTGGTTCACCATCTAACATCTAATAGCGTGATGCTGGAGTGCACAGTCCTTGAATTTACTTCAATAACTTTTTTTGGGATTGACCAGGAGTCGTTTTAAGGGTCAAGCGAAGAAGTGTACCCAGGTGTACGTGCCATTTAAAACGCACAGGAGCAGAAGCTTGACCCATTTTAATTGGGCACATGAATACATTATAATAAGTGCCAGGGGGAACGAATTAAAATCTTTACGCTTGTGCTGTTCAGAACAGATAGGATTGTATCAAAAAACAAGCTGGACCTTTTACGAGTGTGTGAAGCGTGCTTGTCCCAAGTCTATTCATCCTCGAATTGGCCCTTTGATGACTTGTGGACTTCAACTCCCAGAATTCCTTAGCCAGGAAGTCCACAAGTCATCAAAGGGCCAAGTTTGAAGACCCCTGCTCTAACCCAAGCATTATTGGGAGAGAGGTGAGGGGGAAGGATGGGCAGCATGCGAAATGGCCATTTTGGAAAGAACCACTCATCTTCTCTGGAAGTGGCAGGAGAGGACAGACAAGGTCCTCTACCACCACCACCCAGCCTCTTATTGTTGGTCAGGCATGTAGCAGAGGACAGACCGTCCTTGACATACGAGCAATCATTTAGCGACCGAAGATATGGCTCACTGGGGAAAAAAAAGGGATTTAGGACATGCATTTGAGGGTCCCAAGGATTTGGCCTCCTCTACAGTTACGCGACTCAACGTCAGGTGTTTGTGCAGCAACTTGTGCTCACGTGACTGTGTTTTACAATGGTTTTTGCTCAAAATCAGCACTTCTAGTTTTTTGGCAAAAACCCCACACATGGAGAATCACGGGTCTGCTCAACAGCTGCCGCAAAAAAAGGCCATAAAATTGGGCGGGTCCTATTTTACGACCGTTATGACATACGACTGCAATGAGCAGGCTCCACTGTGGTCATATCTCTGTATGAGGAGTACCTGTATAGGTGGCCAGCAGCCAACTGGGGCACGGAAGGTTTGTTCTGTGCTGCCAGACCTTAGCAGTCAGTCCCAGTCCAGCCCAGTCTATCCCAGCACAGCCCAGCCCAGCCCAGCCCAGCCCAACCCAACCCAACCCAACCCAACCTTTTATTACAGCCAATGTCCTGATGATAAGTCCTGTACAGGAGAGACGTCCCTTTTCAGACTCTCCAGATCACCCATGATTTTCACTGGCAAACTCACCGGGTGGCCTTTTGGGTCATGAGGTAGCTGACTGGGTGACAGCGGTTTAATGAAAACAAACCCAGGGCTGCTGGAGGGAAGCCAGCTTCCTCTTGCCCCACTGGTGACGGAATTATGGTGTGTGTGTGTGTGGGGGGGGGGTTTGTCGCCCCTGCAGGCTGAATTCATCCCACGGGGTTGCCCTGCCCGATTCATACCGTTGGAAGGCCACTTCCCATCAGTTCTAATGCAGCCGGCATGCAATCATCCTGTCTTGCTTTAAAAAGAATACTCCCTGAAAAGATTGGCACGATGGGGGGGGGGGGAATGGGGAAACGCTCCAAGTATGGTGTGTTTTGTCTCAGGTGTGGTCTCCACCTACCTGTCGAGCGCCTTGTGGGCCTGCTGCTCCCATATTCAGAGGCCCTGGACCTTGAATCGCGCCAGTCATTGGACCTCTGGGGTTGGGACCGGGGCCCCTAGACTCCATTCCAGGGCCTCTGGGCTCCATGCCCCTCGGGGGTTCCATGCCCCTAGAGGTTTCCATGCCCCTAGGGGGTTCCATGCCTCTAGGGGGTTCCATGCCCCTCGGGGGTTCCATGCCCCTCGGAGGCTCCATGCCTCTAGGGGGTTCCATACCCCTAGATTCCATGCCTCTAGGGGGCTCCATGCCCCTGGGGGGTTCCATTCCACGCGGTTCTATGCCTCTTGCATCCAGGACTCTGGGTTCCATTCCTCTGGGCTCCATGCCCCTCGCATCCATCACTCTGGGCTCCATGCCTCTGGGCTCCATGCCTCTCGGTTCCATGCCCCTCGCATCCATCACCCTGGGCTCCATGCCTCTGGGCTCCATGCCCCGGCCATCCATCACCCTGGGCTCCATGCCCCGGCCGTCCATCACTCTGGGCTCCAAACCCCTCGGGTCTCTTCCGCCTACATAAAAGAAGGGAGATGTTTCTGACACAGGTTTCTTACACAGGCAAAAACTAGGCGCTACCCACCGAGGACAGCCAAGAACCCGCTCCAGCACAGCCAGGCAGCAGTTTCAAAGGGCTTGCAGCCCATCGCATTGGGAATAAGGCATGCAGCTATCAAACCAGGTTTTGAATTTTGTTCCGACAATCCAACCCTGCCTTTTGTTTCGGCTCCCCATGGTACCGTTTGAGTTGCATGAACGGCTTATATATTTTTTGCATCTGCTAGAACAGGGGTCTCCAACCTTGGCCCCTTTAAGACTGGTGGACTTCAACTCCCAGAATTCCTCAGCCAGCCAAGCTGTGCTAGAACAAGGCGGTGGAAATCTGTGGGCCAGATGTTGCTTACTACTGACTGGGCAGCTTGGAATGACCGTTCGGCAACATCTGTGAGGCCACAGGCTCCCAACAGTCTTCCTACGTCATCCAGAATCTTGACCTCATCATTCTTCTCCTGTCCTACTGGATGGGTTGGAATGGGTTCCGTCTGCATCAACGCCTTCACGTTGCCCGCCTCCCTTTTACCTCGGCCATCCATCAAGGGCCCTCGTGGCTCTCCCATCAGGGGACGTGGCTCTCCCATCGGTCCGCCTCTCATTTCATGGGGGGGCAGCCCACGACTGTCGTGCGCGGGCATGTGGTGCATTGGTGGCCCCTGGTGCGGTGGCCCGAGGTAACCTCTGCAGAAAAGGCGAGGAGGGAAGAAAGGAGACATCAGGTGCCAGGCTACAGCTCCAGAGAAGCTCTCTCTCACCTCAGTAAATAAAGGGGCTCTGTTTGATCGGTAACCCAAGGCTGATTCTGGCTTGTTGGATGAACCAGGTTAAGACGCAATCTGGGCTCCGTGTTAGGGTGCAAGAACAGTCAGTATGAGGTCTACAGAAGAGACCGCTGTCTGCAGGAACTCCTGCAGGAGGACAAGGCTGCAGGAGGGATGCAAAGAATTGGAACGACGCTCCCGTTTCATCTCTACAGTCAAACAGGAGGGGGTGGGGTGTAATGGAAACAAAGACTGCTTTGCTTGCAACCCCTAATTCTCCCATTGCTAAAACCAGCCTGCTTTCTGGTGCCTTGGAAGAGGACCCCCTAAATACAGTCTCTGTTCCCACCTGCCTGCCTACCTGGGCTCCACGTCTCCAGTGACCGACAGCAACGTGCCTCCCCGTGGGTCATTGGGGGCATCTCCCAGAAGGCCTCGGGGTGGTGGCCCACTAGCTGGCATTGGCCCCCGGTGCATAGGGGCTCGTGGGTCTGGCATGGGCACTGTCGAGGAGGCAAAAAAGAGGGCTTTGAGGGTTCAGGAAGAGAAGCCATTTATAATCGCACGGTTCAGCGGTTTGTGAACTGAGGTGCTTCTCCTGCATGTACTCACTTTACCCTGGGCTGAAGCCCTGCAGAGGTTATGAACTGCCTCCACACAGACTACCTTGGTTCCAGTGCTCTCTTCCCTAAGCACACATATTCTGCCTTATCGAGGATGAATAGACTCGGGACAAGCACGCTTCACACACTGGTAAAAGGTCCAGCTTGTTTTTTTGATACAATCCTATCTGTTCTGAACAGCACAAGCGTAAAGATTTTAATTCGTTCCCCCTGGCACTTATTATAACAGTGATGGCGAACCTTTTAGAAACCGAGTGCCCAAAAACTGGCCCCGCCCCCTCTCCACTCCCTGCTGTGCCCCCGCTCTGCCCCCACACTGCCCCCCACCCTGCCTGCCCGCAGGGCCACTCACTGCCTCCAGGGCCCACCACAGGGCCCTGGCAGCCCAGCAGCACCATGGCAGCCACACCTTCTGCCCGCACCCCGCAGCATCAACTGTGTGCGATGGGGCGTGAGGGCAGAGTCTTGTCTACACTGCCTGGTTGCCATGCCCTTTGCTGCGCTGCTCCGAGTGGGCCACGCTCAGGGGTGACTCCTCCAGGGGGGCTGCTGGGGAGGAGGGGGTCATGGGGGGAGGTGAGGCTGGGGTAATGACACGTGTGCCCACAGAAAGGGCTCCGAGTGCCACCTCTGGCACGCGTGCCATAGGTTCGCCACCACTGTATTATAATGTATTCATGTGCCCAATTAAAATGGGTCAAGCTTCTGCTCCTGTGCGTTTTAAATGGCACGTACACCTGGGTACACTTCTTCGCCTGACCCTTAAAACGACTCCTGGTCAATCCAAAAAAAAAAGTTATTCAAGTAAATTCAAGGACTGTGCACTCCAGCATCACGCCATTTCTATAAGAGTGCTGAGATACTGGCGAAGTGTAATCCAGTTTAATAAAAGAAAATACACGTGTCCCCGAGCGGCTTGCAATCTGAAGCCGTGTTTCTTAAACCCGGCAATTTTAAGATGTGCAGACTTTTAACTCGCGCTGTGTCCCTAGGGAATTCTGGGAGTTGAAAGTCCACCCGTCTGAAAAGTTGCCAAGGTTGGGAAACATCTCAGCTGGTCACAAGGATGGGGAGATCAAGTGCAAAAAGGGAGAGAAGGAGAAAGCACGGCTGAAGAAGGAAGAAAGATGCACAAACCTACGCGAAGAATACTTAGGATGGTTTCAAAAGATTCTGGTACCCTAATGATAGGTCAGCACAAAATTATTCATCAGACGCCATCCCTCTTTTGGCTAGCACTAGGTGGAGCCTTCCCCCTGCCCCATAGTTAAAGAGTTACAGATGTCCTTCTCCCATCTGTCTCATTCCAGCCACACCTGCTGCTTCATTGGCAGCTCTACCCAACGGGGGGATACACCTTTGTGTGTGCATGGGTCTCGCCCCTCCGTTGCAGGGGGCCACAAGCAAGGGGAGGCCAATGGCAGCTACTGGTACCTTGAACGCGCTCAAGAGAGGCAGACCTGGCAGGTCCCACGGGAGAGAGCTGCAGGTTCCCTGGCCGGGTAAGCAGGAAGAAATGGAGAAAGAGCCGTCACATCAACAGGAGAGGCGCCCGCCACACGCATGCACACGCCCGGCTAGAACATGTCCTCGGGTACCTCTCTGGAGAGAAGCGAGCCTTGGAAGGCCACCCCTTACACCACGGTCTAATACAGGGGTCTCCAAACTTGGCCACTTGAAGACTCGTGGACTTCAGCTCCCAGAAGTTTACGCCATGCCGGCTGGGGAAGTCCACAAGTCTTCAAGTGGCCAAGTCTGGAGACCCTTGGTCTAATAGGAGATATTAGATGACTGCCAGGTAGAGTCTAAGGAAGCAGGGCTGGAGGGATGGAAAAAGCAGCCGATGAAAAATGCTGGCTAGGTTCTAGTGGATCCTCTTCTTTTAGCACTCCAGGGCTTGTTGGAACTTTTAAGACCAACAGGAGTGATCAGTTCCATCTCTGGCACAATTAAAAATGATGGTTTGACCCATAAATCCCTTAAGAATCTAGTAACTGGGATCTCAACCATGACCTACTCACATGCAAACCTGTCAGAGGCTCAGGTCTACTTTTGCCCAGGTGCCTCCCAGTTTTTAGAGCTAAGAAATTAAGTTCTTTCACCCAGCATCAGGTGCCTGCGTTCCTTGATGGCTTTTAATCTCTGGGGAATATTTTATTTCTGGTTTTCAAGTGCCATTTTGCAATGGAAGAATATTTCAAGGCACTTATTATTATTATTTTTAATGCTGATTTGTAAGAGCGATATAGGTGGAAAATTCAGTGTTGCTTGGTGTGGCTGATAACAACTTTCACACCTCAAAGTAAGCCCTTGTTTTGTCCAGGTTTTTGCTATTTAAGCACTGGGCCATGAACAATGAATTATTAACCCCAACGGCTAATTCAATTTAGAGCCCGCTAACCCAAAGCTAAACAAACCAGGTTACTACATCATGCAATGCGTAAACCCAAGCAATGACTGGGGAAAACAGACCCACATTTAGGGCAGAATTTATTTTGATTGATTTGATCGTTATGGCTGCCCATCTCACCAAAGTAGCATGGTGGTAAACTGGTCTGGAAAGCCAAAATCATGTCTGCAAGATTCATGCCCAGGCTAAGGGGGGGGGGAATGTGAATTCCTCCGTCTCCATTTCTAGAAGAACAAAGTATTTTCAATTTGAAGTACTTGGCCATTTTAATTTTAGAGGTACTGCAGACATGCCTCTCAAAACATAATACAACACTGGAGGAGGAGGAGCAAAAACAAACAAACAAAAAAAAAAAACAGAGGGGAGGAAGGTTTCTCTTTCCCACCCAGTCATTAAAGTAAACCAGATGAATTCAAGAGAATTCTGCAGTTTGTCCCAGGGATAGGACTGGAAAGAAAATGAAGAAAATAAATATATTGAAAATATATATCGATAAGTTATTTACAATTACAGTCAGTTAGCAAGCTTCTGGGACATTTAGCAGCCTGGAAGCGATCAGAGCTTGGGGCTAAAATGGGATTTTGCCTAACCCAGTGATGGCGAACCTTTTAGAGACCGAGTGCCCAAACTGCAACCCAAAACCCACTTATGCATCGTCGGGTGCCGGGTGGGTGTGGCCTATTGGCTGGGTGTGGCCCATTGGCTGGGCGTGGCTATGGTGGTAACGGCAGACTGGGTGGGACTAAAAAGTTCAATCCATCAATTCCAACTTTGCAAGATCTTTTTTTTTCCTGTGAGAAGTTGAAATTGACTGATTGATTGAACCTTTTTTTTTTTTGCACACGGCGACGAAGGCCTAAAGCGAAAAGGTTTTATAAAACCCAGCTGAAGGCCTAGGACTGGGGCGACGGTGCGCGTGCCCACAGAGAGGGCTTCTGAATGCCGCCTCTGGCACCCGTGCCATAGGTTCGCCACCACTGGCCTAACCCAACAAGGCAGCTCTTTTAAGGACTTTGGGAAAAGGTGGGGGGGGGCAGAAGTAATATAACATTTGAATAGCATGCAGGGACGTTTCCAGTCCTACGCCTCCTCTTTGGCCTCCATCACCAGAACAAAGCAAGCCCCATTTCCTTGTGCAAAGAAAATGTAATTCCCAAAAAACAAACAAACAAAAAAGCATTTCAAAAAGCGGGCAGCAGCACCCTCTGCTGGCTAAACGAAAGAACGCAGGCGCAACTTGGATCGAGCACTGGGGGGGCGGCGGTGGAAGAGTTCAATCAAGGGTGGTGTTCCCGTTTTTTTTCTGCATGCCAGTACCTGATGGAGCCTTACTGGGGAAAGCATCGCTCTCACTGTCCACTAAGCGCAAAAAGAAATGGAGGGACAGAGTTACAGAAAACCCGGGAGAGCTACACGATTTGCCGTGAGCTAGTCGGAAAACCTCGTGGCGGGCAATTGTTTTGACAGCCGGGGGGGGGGGGGATGCACAGTACATTTCTAGGAGAATATGTGTGTGTGTGTGTGTGTGTGTGTTTGTGTGCTGATGCAAAGTGGATGGAGCTGCATCGTGCAAATGGGTGGGGCGGGGGGGGGGTTCTGGGTTCCCCCTGGTGGATTTCTTTTTTTAAAAAAGCTGCATTGTCTAATTTAAGAGGGCTTACGCTGCCTGTTTTAATGCACTTCCAACTTCACAATAGCATGAAACCGTGATCCGCTCACGTTGAACCGGAGGGAGCTTCAGGGCTGCATAAAAAGGATTATGGGGCTGCAAATTTATTTGCACCCTGCTTGTAGGCAACCCCCGGTACAGAGACCCTCTCAATTCAAATCTGTCACTGTCCAGATTTCAGTCTCCTAGAGATCTGTGCTCCAACCAAGGGGGGATGGTGGGTTTACCTTGTCCGCGTTCCAAGATCATCGGGCCACTCCCGGGCATGCTACCTGCGGGAGAACATTCGCAGAAACGTTCAGGTAGATGAATCAGCGAAAACAGAAAAGCTTGGGAGCTAAACTGGCCAACTTAAATCATCCAAATCAGAATTTCCAAAGCATTTTTTTTCAAATCGAAGGCAGTGATGTATCATGTCAATTAGATGTTTTTGAAAAAGAATGGTTCAAAGCAGCCCAAACAGGGAGACACGCAATACAGGTCTGATTTTCATATCATTGTGATTGAAGAGGAAATGTTTTCAAATCAGGGTGCCTCTGGCTAACCATGATTAAAAGAAACCCAAGGATGAGCAAATCCTAATGTTTAACTGTTGAGGTTCACGTTCTCCTGCTTATTTTATGTCGCCAATGTGTTCTGACTCCATCATGCTTGATTCTGCCCCCAGAGCTGTGAAATAGACTGGGAAAGAACAACGTATTGACCCACTCACCTCCTGGAGCCATGGGCCCAGGCCCAGGTCCGGGCACTGAAGCTGGCATCTGGCCTGGAGCAGGTACTCCTCCTTGCATGGGGGGCTGCATCAGGGGAGCGGCTCCATTGACGTGCATCCCGCCCTACTCAGAGCAAGAAAAAGCACAACTCACATTAATATTTCCACAAAGAAAAGGTCAACAAATTAAAATAATAATCAGTTTTCCCCTAGCAGGGGCCGATTCCAGGCATCCTATGCCCAGCTGCGACTTTATCCATTCCCTGGAATTTCTTACAGTTTTAACTCTGGAAGGTTTAGCTTTTTGTAGCAAAAACCAGAGAAGGAATCTTGCAGGCCCTTAAAAATGAATGAATTTAGGAACTGCAATCCACACAGATCTGCAAGGCATCCAGTTAAGTTTACTGATTATGTTGCTGGTGTGCTGATTGATTTCACCACTTTCCTGTCTATTTTAATTTGCTTACCATTTGTGGGCTAGTAGTTTTGTAATTACTAATTTTATGAGGTGGTTATTACTGTATCATTTTTACTACTTCAGAAATAATTTTAGCAATACCTAAAAACGGAAAGAGATACGGCCAACGAATATCTGCAAATCGCAATATACCCCCCCAAGTTAATAAATAAATGCTCTTTCAACCCGAAGAAATATGCAACACAGACCGAAGGGAAAGATTCAACTCAAACAAGAGCTGCTTACAATTGGTTGTGGCTGAGAAGAAGGGACGTTCGGCTGGTTCATCTGAGCATTTGGCCCAGGTCCTCCTGGCCCAGGTCCTGGCCCGGGACCGGCTCCTGGTCCAGGACCAGGACCCTGTCCTGGCCCTGGCTGTGCATTTCCAGGAATCAGAGACGGGACGCTGGTTTGGCGATGGAGAATTTTCTGGATGACAGAAGAGAGAAAAATAAAATACGCATTTATCAAGATAACAGGCATATGTTCAAGGCACGTGGCTCCGCCCCTTATCCCAAGACCGCCAAGGTTACCAACGTACCAGCGCAATCTCTGGGTCGACAATACGCATCACCACTTGGGCCTGCAGCAAGGCGTAGGCGAGCTGAGGATTCTGCAAGAGCATACTCCGTGCCTCCTGAGGACTGTTCTGGACACACAGCTGGAAAAACAGAAAAGAGGAGACTCTAGAACACGAGGAACAATTGAGCTGTCATCTTTCAATAACTTTTGAAGCTTTTCTCCACCGCTCAGTATTAAAAAGCCATTTCTATTTGTATCTCCAGTACTTCATTTTCTTACACACTGCGTTCCCTAAGGGGGAAGGAACCGTTCACTGGGTGACAGGCAGGATATGTGCTCAGCATCCACAAGGTGTTAGAATGCCCATTTTAAAACAACTTTCCCCAATGCTGCGATCTCTGCTCCCTCCTACCCCTCCATCTCAGGTCTCCAGGTTAGGGAAAATTGCTTCAGAAAGTCTGAAGTGATTCCTAACTAAAAAAGACCAATCAGGTACAAGGTGAGCATACTTTTTATCTAGAAGCCCGAGAGCCTATCAGTATTAATGGGCTGAGAATAATCTGATCTGGTATAAAACAGTCTTTGGCTCCGCAAGGACCCGTTCGGGTTATGAGCTCTGTTTCTGCCCCTGATGGACTCCATCCTTCTTCCAATTCCCACGTGCTTTTCTTCTGCATCCAACAAGTTGCCCTGCACTTCCAGCTAACTGCTCTACTTCCGTAGAGAGAGAATTCTCCAACTTAACATCTGCTAATTCAAGGGTATATTTCCTTCCCTTTGGAAAAAGAGATGGAAATGCGTCTGTTAAACGGACGGGCAGAAGACAAGACATGAGATTTCTGACTTGCAACCAAAAGTCAACCTGGCTTCTAGGAAAGGGTCCTCCCTCTCCTGCAACTAACAAGACAATCAAGCAACCCTCCCTTCCTCCGTGATCTCTGGGTGGCCGGCCCTCCAACCTTCATTTGCTTCATCAGTTCAAACATCTGCTCAGGAGGCAGGCTGGCCACCGCTCTGCTGATGGACTCAGGAGCATCTTCGGGGTTCACAGGGTCTCCATAGGGTGACTCTATGATGGGAGCACCAGTGCCCAGGCCTAGCAGAGAAATAAAGGAAAACCTTAGGGCCAGAGATCACAGATCACACGTGCTGTAAACAGCACAGATTAACAGCCAGCACCTCACACTCCTCCCTCTGGGCCTTCAGACTCACTCTTGAGTTCCTCCTTGTTCTTCTCACTGGCTGCATTGTCCACTCGAAGCGCTCTTCCACTAAATTCTCGCCCATTGAGATTCCGCATGGCACTGAGGGCGGTTTCTTGATCTTGATACTCACAAAAGCCATAGCCTTTTGGTTTGCCCGTCTCTCTGTCATATACCAATCTGGTTGGCAGAGCAGAGAAAACCAAGACAGTTATGCCCCAGAAGATAACTGAGAAACCGGGGGGGGGGGGGGGGGGGGGGGGGGGGGGGGGGGGGGGGGGGGGGGGGGGGGGGGGGGGGGGGAGAGAGAGAGAGAGAGAGAGAGAGAGAGAGAGAGAGAGAGAGAGAGAGAGAGAGAGAGGGTGCTTCTAATGAGAACATTAGAATTAAAACTAGTTGATGACTCCATCCCGCAAAAGAAACTATTTTGGACTGTATATCTAAGCCAGAGCAGGATCTCTCCAGATGTTGCTGCAGAGGGATAGCTAATGGTGAAGGAGACTGGAAATAGCAATTCAGCATTACTACCTGTATTTGGAGGGCCCAGCATTCCCATCTCTTTAACATATTGTGCATATTTTGAATTGCAGTGGTTTCCCAGAGTAATGGAGGCTCCAGCATGATCCATCTGAGATATCTGAAGGAGGCCAAGTTGGGGACGACTGATCTAGGCTCTCAGACAGAGGCCTTTCTCATTGGTTTTAGATTTTAATCAAGGTTTCAAGAATGGAAACTGTGGTCCAATACATGCACTCTGTTATTCATCATAAAGACCTCATCTTCTGCCCCTTCTCTGCACAATTTCTAAATCCTCCAGGCCTAAGAATGAACCATGTCTCAGGGAATTCTAAAAGGGAAGTGTCTCACCGGAAACTGACAACAGGTCCAACCTCTGAGAAGATATCTTTTAGCTGTTCCTCGGTGGCTTCATAAGGGATATTCCCCACTACAGGAGAAAGACAGGAGCAGCTCATCAATATCTGTGAGCGTATCTGCAATTAGGCAGGCACCTTTTCAGGTACAGCCCAGACTGAAATAATCTTACAGCTGACACATTTTTTAAACAAAAATACAGGGGGCCCTAGGCAAACAATAATGCATTACCCCCAGGCCTGATAGCAAGTCCAGTTAAAGTGGCATTTGTTACTGTGGCTAAATTATGCCGTTGCATTATAAAACCTACGTAGAAGTGGGAAAACATTGTCGAAGACAGGAATTTCTCGACAGAGACTTTGAGGGTTCAATTTACATTTTTCAGTTACATTAGAAAGAGTGAAATGCCAACATTACAACATTGCCCAGCCCTATGCAGTATGCAGAACAAATGAGAAAAAAAAACAGATTTGAAGTGTTTTAAGACCAATTTGCTTCAATAATAACAGGCAGAAGACCATCCCATATACATTTCATAGATAGATCGATAATATATATTAAAGCTGATTTAAAAATATACACCGAGGAGCGCGATTTTAAGAAGAGATGCTAAAGTTGCATGCATTTCCCAAAAAAGAGTAATGGATGGGAATGATGGGAACTGGAGTATAAGCACTTCCGGGGAGCCAGGTATCCCCCACAAAACTAGCCAGAGAGTCCAGGGTCCCACGGAAGGGACTACATCTCCCATGCCCCTCAACCAGATAGCTTGATTGGCGGGGGAGGGCGGTGATGGGTATTGTAGTCCCCCTCGGCTAGGCAAGGGCACGCCAAGGCGGCGTGGAGAGGAGGCTTTGCCTCCCCGGGGCGAGAGGGAGGCTGGCGGGCGCAGCACCTCACCGAAGACGGAGCGCAGAGACCGATCCACCGCGGGGTCCCGCACCGACAAGCCCGCCATCTTCCTCGTCTCCGCCCACCGAGGTTCCCCCCCACAACTCATGACCTCGGCTTCCGGTCCGTCGCCGAAACGCGCCGCCGCTAGCTTCGTTTTCATTGGGGTCCCACCCTTTTCTCCTTCCCCCCGGAAGCCCTGGCGCTCAAACGTCGGTTCCGTTTCCGCGCTGATTGTGCGGCGGTTGCCGAAGATGGAGGCCGACGCTTCGTCCTCTGGCGGCACCGCGGCTCTCGTTGCCGAGGCTCAGTTTGCTCAGGTTTTCAGGTGTGGCGGCAGATTTGTAGGAAGGCAGCGCGTTGGGGTTTCCCTGGTATCCGGTTCATTTCAACCTGGCCCCTGAATCTGTCTATTTCTCTATCTCTCATCTCTCACGATCTGTTATCTGTCTATCATCTCTTCTCTCTTATCTATCATCTATCTATATCTATCATCGTCCGTCTGTCATAAAAGATTCCTTTC